TTCAACAAACATCCTTGCCACTAATCAAAGCGCGCAAGATCCAATGTCCAGTGATCTCAAACCTTGACCGTATCTTGTACTACCAGAATATAATAATTTATATGACGTCCTTTCAATAAACATCCTTGCCACTAATCAAATCGCGCAAGATCAATTCTCGTCCAATGAATAATGCTTGGATAACGTATCGTCAAAGTCACGGCACGGCACATCACAGCAAGTTGTTTTACAATCAGATATGGTTTAATAAGACTACGAGACATACCTGGGGGATATAAAACAGTTTACTTGGATTAGGCTTGGTGACTTTGCCTCCAAATAAGGGCCAAAGCTGAAAAAGATTAATAAAAATATTTGCTGTTAGCTAAACATGATCAATTTATCAGACATTAAGAGCTTGATAACGTTTTCATTTTGATATACATCCTATCTCTTCACTGATAGGCTCTTTATCACACTGATATAGACTCGAAATGTAAAAATAAATCCTAACTCGATTTCTGGTTGCTCAATTTGATTCTACCAAGAAGTCTTTTTCGAGTCTTCAAACTATTATGTACGTTATAATCTCAGCATGGCACAAGACCCACCATGCGTACAATAACATACGTTACATTCCTAACATCCATAGGAAGGCGGCTCTGTTACCTCTCCTAGTATCCTAAAGAGAGAACTTTTACCACAGCCGTTTGGACCACACACTAACACGTTCATACCAGACCCGACCTGACAAAGCAATACAGAGGTTAGGGAGCTAGACTACAGGAAAATAGGGGATGGATAGAAGAGAATAGTGAAATAGGGAAGGTATAGCAGAGCATAGTGAAATAGGGAACGGATGAAAGAGCATACTGAAATAGGGAAGGGATAGCAGAGCATAGTGAAATAGGGAAGGGATAATATAGAGATAATTAGGCACAAAGAGTGATGAACAACAGAGGAACTCAGGAACATGATGGAAATTAGAAGACAGGGGACGTCATTAGGAAAAGAAAACCAGGCAGTAGGGGAGATAATATCTAGAGGGGTGTAGTAGAGGGAAACGAAGGAATACAAGGAGATGTGAGAATATCTGAAGAATGAAGTGTGGAATATGATGGTATATTGAGCAAACTGACCTCAAACGTCATATCATCTACCAGTACATCACCATTAGGAGTTACAAGAGGGACTTTCTCAAACCTGGAAAAAAACACAATTAAGCATGAGATAAAAGTGTATTTTGTATGGTTGTGAAACGGCAAGGTGCTGTTGTGTATTTTTCACAGCCAGCATACAACGTCTCTGCCACCCAGTTGGCTCAGTTGCTTGAGCACAGTGCCTGTTGTGTGAGGAGGTCATAGGTTCAAGCCTGGCCAGACCAATACTCAGGGTCTTAAAAATAACTGAGTAGAAGGTACTGCCTTTGTAATTACATCTACAAATAATTAGACTTCCACGTGGCTCGGATGACCATCTTATCATAAGATATAGAGGGTTACATGTGACTTCATCTTACCTTATAAGGTAGTCTTTTTCTATGATCTCGCCTCGTTTTCGTGTCAACTCAGATGCAGATATTTTCTTGCCCACTGAATCAAGAAATCAAGACTTCAGAATAAGATACCTCTTCTGTTGTTTGCTGTACATATATTACACATACCTCCCATCTTCTCATCGTCATCTGTTCTTTTACTTTCAATCAATGTCCTTTGATATACCCCACGATTAAGGTCCTTCAACACATCCATCAGCTCTGACACTCTGGCAGTGAACCTAACAAGACAGATAAATGCAGTTAATGACTGTATAATACAGCTGTATTAGTATGTAATGCCTTCAACCAAGGACATATAGTAACTTACCCTGCAAGTCTTGTCATCTCTCTGCCTGCTAAAACTAACCGACCAATAGCTTCAGCCATTTTGACCAACATACGACCACTTCTGTAGTAATCCTGGTAATCAAAACAACAGACCAAGCCATCTATTATTCCATTTTCAACAAGAGAAATGTACAGACATGTGCATTGACAATATTTAATTTTCATTTTGTAGGTTTATAATGTGTTCTTTAATCACTTCAGTTGCACGGGGAGGGGAGGGGAGGAGGAAGAGGGTTAGCTAAACCTTACTTTCCCATTCTCTCAAATATTAAAAGGGGAAAGATGCAAAATGGTTCCTTAAAAGAAAGCATCCATACCTCCATCCTGACATCATGAGCACTGTTTCTTAATTTAGGGTTTGAATTTGAAAGGAATGGTCTACTGACCACATAAAAACCACAGATAGTAGCAACATCTGGAAACAACACAACAATATTAGAATAGGAATAGTATTAGGTGCAGCAGGTTGACAATGATTGATGATAGTAATGGTGGTCACTGATTATAGCGATGATGAGTGATAATGGTGATGATAGTAATGATAGTCACTGACGATATTGATGATGATGATGAGTGATGATGGTGATGATTATCACTGATCACAGTGATGGTAGTAATGATGAGTGATGACGGTGATGAGTGATGATAGTGATGAGTGATGATAATGATGGTGATGGTGATCACTGATTATAGTGATGATTATCACTGATCACAGTGACAGTAATGATGATAAAATGATGATAATGATGTGGGTGAAACTGTGATGATCACTGATGATAATGATAATAATAATCATGATAAATGAAATGTCGATATGTCATAATAATGAAAAATAAGAGAATGCTTCTTACATTTGGCAATGATGTTATCAATAATTCCCATGCTAAACCGAAACTTGACAAAATCTTTGAGATGTTCAACCTATGACAGACAAATAAAACAAGTCATTACAAGAGGTTGGATAGAAGCTGCTGACTCAAGTGCTATTACCAGCCTTCCAAAGGTAGATTCAATGGTGACTTTCTCTCTCTGGTTGCCTTGATAGAATGCTACCTCCTCACTGAAAAGATAATTAATATAATATTGATCAATAATATGCATATAAGAATGGTGTTACTAATCATGAAGATGGTGATAATGATGACTCAGTGGCAGTAATGATGACGGTGGTGATGGTGATAATGATGCTGATGATAATGACGATGATGATGTTGATGATATTGATGCTGCTGATGATGATGGTGATGATGGTAATGATGTTGATAATGATGATGATTTTGTTGATGATATTGATGCTGCTGCTGGTGATGATGGTAATGATGTTGATAATGATGATGATGTTGATGATGCTATCGATGACGACGTTTTTGGTAATGATGATGATGATGGTGGTGGCAGTGGTGGTTGTGGCAATGCTGATCCTGATGCTGTTAATTGTAATGATGATAATGATATTTATAATGATGTTGATGACGATACTAATGATGATGATGCTATTGATGATGATGTTGATGATGATATTGATGATGATGATATTGATGATGATAGTGATGATAATGGTTGATAATGATGCTGATGATATTGATGAAGATGATGATGATGGCGATGATGTTCATGTTGATGATGATGATGATGATGATGATGGTAATGATGTTGATGGTCATGTTGATTATGATGATGGTGGTGATGATACTGGTGGTGCAGCAGCTGCTGCTGCTAATGATGATGATGATATTAATGTTGATGATTCCTATACACTAATAGTTACCTATTTGTTATGAGTCTGGAGTTGACATATCTGAACTCTCCTTCCAGATGTTGCTCCTCTACCGTCATTTTACCAACAGGACGACGAAGTCTAAATAAGTGCCCATATATCAGGGTTAATGACTGATAGAATACTAAAACCTTTGTTGTAATATACTCTAACTGTATGAAGTATGGAGGAAAGATTTAGGACATACCTTGTCAGAATTATACCAGATAAAGCAAGATATCCCAACATCATTGCTGGACCCTGAACAAAAACACATATAAACCATCAATGCTTGAATAAATGAATATAGAATATATAGCTGTGAAATATAGCTATTTGTTGCATGTTGCATGCTGCATGTCGCTTACTAAACTTGAAATGTATTATATTCATATGCAAATTAGGTCAGCACAGGAAAATGGACCAGTAAAACGTGCAACCAAAAAAAACCTTTCATTGATTGTATTCACATTGCATATACTGTAGTTCAGTTCTCTTTTAGAATAGCTGTATTTTAATGTAAATATGGACACATATTAATAATCAATTGCTTTACCTGCATTCCAATGGCTCCACTCAACTTGTGGACATATATTATGATATCAAGCAACGGCTGTCCAAGATGATAAAAAAATTAATAAGATCATAAAGTGTGACCAGATATATTCCATATTAGTGCAGAAAGTTCTGGCACAAGCTAAAGTCACAACACAGGAATAAAACAAGCGGATCAATGTTGGGTCAATTCTAACCCTAGGGTTTGCAGATGGAGGAAAACTGAAGAACAGAATGTTATATCCCCCTTTTCTAAAACAAGAAGTCTAGATGTTTTGACACTATTTTTTACCTTGCTGAGATTAGAATAAAGCTCTGCAAGACAATTACAAAACTTGTCCACATCCTGAAAATGAAAAAAATGTAAAAAGATTAAGATGGGGAAAATAAATGCTTGGGTTTTCTGTGTCTTGAGGAATAGAAAACCCACCAAAGGCAACCCATTCTATTTATTTTCAACTAACCTGAGTAAGAAGCTGATCAGCATTGGCTATTCTGTTGTCAAGGTTACTCATCTTGTAATATGTGAATCCACTGGGAAAATAACACAGTTTAAAGATTTTTATATAAGTTTTGCAATTTATTGATGTTGAAATATTAATTATACTAAAATGTGAATAAAACAAAAGTAATATTATTAATTCCTTAAGAGAAATGAAAAACTGTCACATACCTTAAGTACTTGCCAGTAAGATGTAAAGTGAGCTGTGTCCTGAATCTCAATTTTAACATGTTAAGGCCATACTAGAAGGAATAAACAATATTCAGGATTTGAAAAACAAAAACTACTAGAAGGGAATCTGTTGAATATACTGTAGTGGGCAGACGAGAATGTTGCTTACCTTTAACAAATTATTGACTATTGATATCTGTAATGGAACAATAATAGAGCTTAGTTACCATAAAGTTGTGTTTTGATTATCATTCTCAACATATCATGAGTACAATCATATATGTGTGTGTATTGTACGTAGACTATAGGAACACCAACAATACAAATCCTGCGAATTGATAAATGGTTATGTGGCATAGAGGAGTGAGAAGCAAATAGATGTATATATATATATTTCAGTTATAGTTTAAAGTCTGATAACAGCATGGTAACCAGCATCAATATTATACAAACTTAGCAACTTACTAAAGGCATGGCATAGGTAAATTCCAAAAGATTATCCTTGAATCCTTTAAAATTCCCACTAATAATTGATCTAAAAAAGAAAATAACACAATGCGCAGCATCTGTCACCAAGGAATATAGGCTCAAAACAAAGACAACATTTAACAGTGGTCATTTAAGAAGCAATATGGAACTGAAAAAAAATAGTACCTTTCAATAACTGTTCCATTATGGATCATCCATACATCGCAGTATGTTCTTACAATCAGAGAACATGCTACCAGCAACAGATATCCTGTCTGAAAATATAACATAACATAACATATACATTTATGCTCCTGTGTATAATATATGTAATCATGGGAGCCCCGTGGGTTATTGGGATCCCTGTGTTAATCTTTAATCTCTGTGTTAACCATCAAAGCAAGTTTGTAAGCCACGTTGTCTGTGTAGTACCAGTTCAATCCAAGAGAACATCCAACACTGTATCGTAACTAAATTCTAAGTATAAGACAATAAAACAATGTCATTTACCTCTGGTGAGAGTAGTCCAGGAATAAGGATCTTCAGTATTCTCATCAACCTCCTGTACGTTAGTAACCAAAATGAAATTGAAAGATGGATAATGAGAGCAAGATGGGAACTCATGATGGAATGGGCCAATCAAAATTGGTACAGTGAAAAGACATTAAGAATAATTTTATAATTTTCATCTTTCTAAACTACATAAAATTCATTTTTATTTCTTTTCATTTATTTTGTTGAAGCAAAGGGTAATGGTGATGTGAAAGTACAGTCATCTCTTTCATTGTTTTTCCTTCCAGGGTGTAATATAATTAATAATTACAAATACTGATACCTAAAGAATACTCCATCAACTGCAGCTCTCTCCTTTTTAGCAGCCTTGTCCTGAAACCATTAGAAATTAGTCATTTAATCAATTTATTTTTTGCAGCCTTGTCTATTGCTATATGTTGCATACACACAAGACATTTTAATCAGCTGTTAATTTACCACATCACAACACTGCCATTATCAAAATGAAATAATGGTAACCATATGGAGTAAGAGCTCAGGAAATGATTATGAGCTTCAGGTGGGATACAAATCTGGCACAACTCTTTCTAAAAACCCACCGTCACGTGTAGAGTTGATAAGTGCTTTGAAGATTTTTTTAAGTTTTAGATCCCAACTAAAGACATTAACAATTTTGCTATCTGCAGATACCCTCCCCTCTGAAACCAATTGACCACCCCTAGCCTACCGCCGCCCCCCAAAGATGTACCTTTTCTTATATTTAATAGAGACTTGTTGTATAGCTCACTTAATTAACATTACTTATCAAACTGTGAAGCTAACCTGCTCTAATGATATGTGTAAATCCAGAGCATCCATCCTGAAAGACAAGATATGGGTTTTATTCTAATAAACAACTTAAGGTATTTTAAAGAAAGCAAGAGAAAAAGTGCAGCAAAACTTGCTTCATAAGCTTGCATCACAATGACGAAGCAATTTCTTCTCATTCAACATACTTTTTCTTTCTTTTCTCGTGGTCCCTGAGTTGTTTCTTCCATAGTAGAAAGATTGTAGCAGCAGCAGCAGTAACAAGAGCGCCAGATACTTTAGGAGTGATGAAGGAAGAAGGGTTAGTCGAGAGGATCTTACTGAAGGCCACCATCTTGGATCGCGTTCTCTATTGAACCTGGGACCAAATGTTGAAGACAGAGAGAGACTGGGGAGAAGACAAAAAGTTGCACACACCGCAAAGTGCGCGCATCGAATTACTAGTAAATAAAAAGTCAAAATCTGGTTGGTTTTTTTTTTCTTTTCTATTCTTAATGCAACTTTTCTCGTAGAAGTTATTCAGTTAATACGCTGGGACACTTTTAAATCGAGCGCTGACGTTTGTATGCGAGGCGCAAGCAGATCTGAATTTTCCCCTGATGCATATGTATTTTAGTTTTTCAAAGTGCGTCCCACATGGAAAAGAATTTCTACGTATGATTACCCATCATCGATATAATTTTCGCATCGGGTATGCTGGTCATAGCAAGGGGTTAATCATGTACGGTCTAGGGGCCGACTAACCTCTCCCTTAGGCTTCGGCTGAGCTTCCTGATCAGTCTGTAAATCCAGGGATAGCGGTGTCGGGGTCGAAATCTCCGGCGTAGCCGTAAATGCTTCGCGCTGCCATACTGCGCTTCAGCACAGGGTCTGGAGGTATGGTCCTTAATTAGTCAATCAATAAAAAGAATCTAATCCTTTTCCCAAAAACAAATTGCTTCCAAGCTAGAATATATTTTTAACTTTTAAATAGACCAATTTACAAAGGACAAGTAAAAGGAGAAAGAAGTAGTTGCCTGACACGTAATTTATTTATGCTCCAGTATAAGGCAAATCGATCAAATTCTGTACTATAATATCTCAATTACCGATAAAAAATAAATTGTAAAAATTTCTATACAACAGATACAATGGCTTGAACCTGTCTAATATATGAATTGTCTTTCTGATAACACCTTAAAGAAAAGTAGTAAAACACATTAAAACGCCTTTTATTTAGTATTCATGAAGCTAAGTCTAGTTTTTCATCATTAAATGAACCCAAAAGCCATGATGACTCAAAGCACTCGTCAGACAGAGGCGTGAATCCCCTCAGGGGTGTAGTGAGTCGCTTTTGTTTAGTACTCATAAGTAGATATCTTCTATTATCATCATATTGCTTTTTGTATTTCGAATTTGTAATGGAGTATTGTCTTTTTCCTTGTTCATCTTCTTTGTTTCTCAGTGGAAGGTAGCTGCTCTCACCACTGCGCCTCCTGCAAATGCCATCACCTTCATGATGTCTTGGATCCTTTTTGCCAGAATTCTTCACCAGTAAGTTTTTATTCACTTGTTTGTTTTCTGTTTGGACTGATTGCCTTAAGGAATGATGCTCAGTATAGATAGGAGGTAGGAATGCGGACATCTTCTCGCTGTGTTTTGTTTCTTGCACTACTGATTGTCCTGATGCCTTTTCCTCCTCGTTATTCTTGCGCGCAGCATTGTCGCACGAGGTACTGTAGTTCTTTGGGCTCCCCCCTGCATATCTAGAACACAGGCTATTGTGGCAGCATGCTACATGATCTTGGCCTTCAATTAACGGTAATTTGAAGCTATCCCATTCTTCCCGTACAGAAGAAATCTCGCTGTACCCATGACGAATGTAAACTTGACGTGCGCTTGTTAGCGGTAGGCGTGGAAGATCAGCTTGTGTTGACATATCGTTCTCTCTGCAGGAACCAGGCCTCTCCTTGTACAGCAAAAGAGAATGATAGAATGTATTTGCTGAAGTTTGACTGAATTTCTTCGATAAAAGACGGTGTTGTATTCTCCATGGCTCTTGTCCTTTTATCGTTTCTCTAATTTTTGAAGATGCGTTGACATCTGTTTCAGCATCGCTGCAATGACTTTCCATCTGTTTTGTTAGATCAGTTTGACAGTCATGAAGTTGATTGGCTTGTGTCTCCTCAGCCTTTCTGCTAACTTCAGTCTGGTTGTCACCAATTTCAGTCTTTTCTGATGCTTTTCCCTGTTTAGTCGTTTCTTTAGCGATTGTTAAAAATTCCTTTCTCTGGCGAACTTTATTGCACCAAAGGTCATCCAAAATTTTGCGCTCAGCCTCCTTGATTGCTTTCTTTCTTTCTTGGAGAAGCGAAAGAAGATGTTTGAATAGCCTTTTCTCTTCTTCTTTCGTTATGACACAATGTCCAAAAGTTCTTGTCAAATTTTCAGGTTGTAAGGTTGTTTCTAATGTGATGGCATGACTTTCATCATTTCTTGCCTTTCTGATGATGTCTTTTGTGTTCGTAAGGCTGCTTGATTTCCTTCCTTGTTCAGAGCTTGTCAACAATTTCTCATCTTCTAGTCCTCTCAACTTTGTTAACTCATTCTTCTTGAAGGTTTCTACCTCCTTTAGCTTGTTAAAAATGGGCTTTAACTTCTGCTGCTGTACGCATCTTTTCCTGATACGACTTGTCAAGTTCTTGTTGTAGTTGATCTTAGCACTAGTGTAGATTGATGGTCTATGACACTTTGCATTCTGTAACGCCATCAGTACTTTATGTTTCTGGTCAGGATTAAAGTCACTTGTGTTAAGAATACCATCTCGAAGGCCAAGAAATTGGTACTCTTCGATGGAGCATTTTTGCTGACCCATTATCTACAGCCTGTGTGTAGGATAAAATGTCTGAGCTTCCCGACTCTTTTAGCACTGACTTAGATTACCAGGTGCAGATAGCACTAGTTTTGTCCAGGCGGAATCACTAGCTCTGTTTTGTCGGAACGTTACTTCATTTTGAGTTCGTACCTTTTGTATAACTTTAGTATCTAACGTCTTTTGTCAATGTTTGGATTGGCATCGAGAGAACTTAACACCATGTACTACCTGGCCAGTCCAAACTAACATCATGCTCTAGATTACTCATTATTAGTTAATTTGACGAAGCACGCAGAACATGGTTTAAAGTGCTTAATTAACAATCAACGATACAATGATATCAATTGGAGCGGCAAAGTTAAGACATCCACAAGACAAAAGATCATCGAGTGATTATATTATCTGATTTTGCCTAAAACAAATTAGTTTTATGATAATCTGTTTGCCACGAAACAACACGAATATTGTTAGCTTGCATACAGCCCGATAACTCTGGATCGTCCTGATGGGTTACCTGTGGTAAGTAAGGAAAAGATTCCGCTTATTCAGCGATAGGTCGTGGCGAAATCACTAAACAAATTAATCATCACTAGAGTTTTTTAAAACATAACCTTTATTAATTTCCCAATAGAAGTACCATATGTACCAGTGACCATATTGTTTTTGATTAATCTAACTGGGATTAGACAAGACAATAGGAAGTATGTTGAGCAGTGTATAAGCAAACATAGGAAATCCAGCAATAAAACACAATGCTGAACTGATTCTGGTACATGTTTGATGTAGATGTAGTCTTAATCATTCATTGCCTTTGAAATAAAATAATAATAATTCTATCTCTAATTTTTCAAATTTTTGAAAAGAACAATTCCATTTTGGGTTCCCTGTGGATCTTAGACAGAAAGAAACTGGGTACTACCAGCTGATATGTAACAGTTGCTTGGCAACCATTATTTTGCTGGACGCCATTTTGTAACAACAGGATTCAGTAGAACATCAAACAAAACTTGTTCTGTCTTTCTTGATTGAAATTTTAGCATTGATCGCTGTAAAATATGGCATCCAAGAAGGCAGAGAGACCAGAAATTAACTTCGTGCATCAAAATGCAATTTTATGCGAAACAATCCAGAAAGAACAGCGTAATCAGCAGCTGTACACCAACTACAGCGTCAACCCGTTCAAGAAAAGTAAGTCACTTGGTTGTGTTCTTACATTGATGTTTAGTAGAATCTTGAGATTAATTTGATATCGTCTGTTTTATTTTCAGTGTACACATTAACTGGAAAGCCGAATTCTGTGCATGATTCTGCGGACGGCGAGGAAGATGGTAAGGTTATCTTGTCTTCTTGGAATCCAGGGAAGATGAAGAGAGTTTTAAAACAAATTCACACAATTCGTTGCTAAAATTAACGTACCGTTTGATATTTTCAGTGTAGTAAAGTTAACAGAGAGATATATTTCTTTTTCTAGATAATTTTTTAAAGGTAATCAAAAGAGCACACCAGACTCCCGTAGAAAAGTTTGAATTCCCACAAACATCGTCACAAGAATATGGATGGAATACTGCACCTCTGGTACGTATTTGGTTTTTATACAGATTATGTGTGATGCAATGTGTGTCAGTCAATAGGAAAAGCCTGGAAATAAGATGTACTATAAGATTCTTATTATTATTGTTATTATAAAACAGTAATCCCAATGATTTTAGACTATAATAACTTTCCTTGCTCTGTGATTGGTTGAGCAGCCAGTGATTATAAGACCATATTCACTTCACCTTCATACTCCATTTTACAGTTGTGATCAGTGACCATGAATAATAGTTCCAAGTTGATGATGGCTAGTAAACACTAGCGTGGACTGCGTCGGTGTTTCTAATGAAACAGTTATCGTAGATTGATAAGTTTTACACCTGGCAACTCCAACCTTGGCTTGGAACTATTATTCATGGTTACTGATTGGAACTGTGAATGGAGTAGTGTTAAATATAACAGGACAGTTAAAGATGACATAAATATTTCTTCTAGTTGCTATAGCAACTTACTAATTGTTATCCCGTTCTCATTAGATTGATAAGACCTGGTATGACGAGCGTCTTCACCATCCACGTACACATTCTGAGATCACGAAATACATGGATGCAGCATGGAGAGTAAAAGAACAGTCTGAAAATATGAACTAGAATAATTGAAGATTTAATATTTTATATGATATGCTATTTGTTTGTGCAGCCATTGTTCATACCAAGTGTCATTCATATGATGTATATTTCATTAGCGTCGAATATTTTGTTTTCGTTGACCAAAGGAAAATATTAATAACAAACTGATTGAAGCTAATGGCTTGACAAAGCAATCAGAGCTAGAATTTGATGAGGACCAAATTGTAATTAAGCAAAAGGAAACAAAGTTGTTAGAAGATTGTTTGAAAATGGTTATGTTTTGAACAAGTGTATATGTCAAAAGACAGAAGATATTTAAAAACTTGTTTTGCATGAAGTGGTTATACTTGTCTTTATTCTTATGACTGGTTAATAGTTACAAGCAATCAAAGTAAATGTGCCATCACTTCCCTCTCCACCTAAACAGTGTATAATTTACCTTTTCATCATTACTGTTTCATTAGAAACACTGACGCAGCTCACACTAGTTTTTAGCTAGTTATATCTCCACCTAATCAGAACACTGCTCTATCATATTGCATCCCACTTGGTTGCCATAGTTACCATTAATAAATACAGAATTATGGGGAAATAATTTTTCTGTTTGTTAGTTTTAGACAGTTTATCCTTTCAAATTTTTCTTCTAATAAGCTAATATTGAAGCACACATTTTGAAGAGTTTTTTAAATTTCTCATAGGGACGAACAATCCCGCATTATTTCAATTCACATTGAAGAAATCTCGCTTTTGTTGCGTATTTAATAAAGTGCATCCGAATAAAAGACTTAAAGGTAGGTCTGTTATTCCACGTACCAAGATGGTCCATTCATTTCAACTAATCGTAGCTGCTGCCTTCGCTGTCCTTCTCGCACAATCTCAAGGTTAGTGTTTTGATTAAAAGACTTTATCAAGAGAAAAGAGAAAGAAAAGGAAGAGGCAAGGATGTACACACCTGAGGAGGAGAAAAGAGAAAACGAAGTTGAAAACAAAAAAGAAGGAAGAGAATAGAAAGTGTAGAATGTTCCGCCAACCAAAGTGGGATAGTTTAAAAAAGTTCCTTCTGAAAAATGCGGAGAATAGGCCACATAAATGAAAGTTAAAGCAAATTTATTAAGTTTCAACTAAGAATCTAAGTAGATGAAAAAGCTTTGATAATGCTTACTTTCAGGTCAAACACAGCCAACTGAAGATGATTTATGGCAGAAGATCAACCTTCTTCCAGTATGTTTTGAAGCAAAAGGGAATAAACCAGGCGAACTCACATATCTCTCTAGTAATGTGTTAGTTGGTGCAATGAAACTGGTCCATCAAAGTGGCACTATACGATGCACTGCTAATCCGGCATATGATAGCAAATGGGGCTGTAACGTACCCGGTATAGTAAGACTTCATTTATTTTAGTTAAGCAATTGGCTACTCATTTCTTTATTTCCAAGTTCAGTAACTGATACGTTCAGTGGCAGATTTAGTGGTTCCGTGGGTTCCCTGGAACCCCCCTTTTATGAGATCTTGTGAAACCAATCATTTTCTTTACGCTTAGTAGAATGAAATTGAATCCTCCCAGGGGCGGCGGAAGCTGAAAAAGTTTGGGGGGGCACTCCAATATTTCACGGTACCTTGAAATGACCCCCCCCCCCCTCCCTGTTTAGCTTGATTACAAACGTGTATGTGTGATATTTCAATCAGTAACATTTTGCGCGCATTAAACCACTTGCAATTGTGCTGAGAGACACAAAAATGATGCAAGTCGTCGCTACATATATCGTATATTTTGTAGATACAGAAAATTATGTAATATCAAAATAATAAATAATGGTAATCATAACCAAGTCTCATGGTTTTTTTTGTGTGTGTGTGAGGCATTATATTCTGGGGGGGCCAAAAAATCTAGTGGGGGGGCCAGTGTCCCCCCGGCCCCCCCGCTTCCGCCGCCCCTGCCTCCTTTTGTGAAGTCAACTTTACCAGCTAATTTTTCGTGGCTGCCATTTTGGAACCCCCCCCTTTTTCAATTGCTAGATTCCCAATAGAAGTTAGACAAGAACAATACATCTATATAGGATTCCGTACACTCTTTCTTTCAAGTCAAACATCTTATTTTAGTACTAAATTCATTTTTCTAGGTTCTCTGAATCTTCTCAATGTGGTAGTCACAGACAAGCATAACAACGTCGTGTACCCACTACAAAAATACATGAGCATGAACCATGCAGGCGGTCTCTGGTACAACCTCCCGTTCATCCATACTCTCTACTCCAAGGAACTGGTATTCACCAATTATCTAGACCCATTCTTTTTCCCTCAACACTCGACGCTGAAGATCTGGTACGGAGAGGATTTGAAAGACTATTACGAGAGTGACAACTTTGGTCGAGTGTGTGTAGATGTGTATATACATGGGCTTTGATCTGCCACCCAAAAGGCACTGGGCCCGAGATTGTCAGTCTTGTGCTTAAAATTCTAAAGGTTTTGGGTACGATCGTTAATTGGGGGTTGTATGTTGCGTAAGTCTTTGACAATGTTAAGCAGCCAATAAAAGGTATCCAGGCTTGTTTTTCTGTGTATCTTAATTCTTAGAACCGTTAATACAGAACCCTGAGCACAGGGATCATCCAATGGCCCAACATTTTTTTGAAATCCAGCACAGGGCATTGACTTTAACAGGATTTGAAGGTAAGCTATAGCTGTTGTACGAAGTGGAATATACTTTTATGCACACCGTCCGGCAGGCAATACGAACTATCAGTAGAAACTAATGATATCAGTTTGCAAGTCTTCAACCTCTTCACTACTCTCCTCTTCCAGGTACACCACATCATCTGGCGTAGCTTCCTCGTACTGTTGGTACTCAGAGATGAGGTCGCTAAGGTTGGAATCAGCCTAAAACAAACAAACAAAACCTTCTTCACCATCAAATACATTTCTAATCTTAATAATAATGCCTTGAAACTCCACCCAACTCCCCCTCACCCCTCCCCTCCTCGGGTCACTCCTCGCGTCATGTACCCCGCCTAGCTTTCTTTCGGGGTAGGTTGGGGTTGATACAATACTAATTTAGTAAGTGACACAAGGTTATGGTACCTCTGTGAATTCCATCGCATCCATACCCTCTGCAGTGTACCAGTGAAGGTACGCTCTCCTCCTGAACATGGCGGCAAATTGTTCAGTAAATCTTTTAAAGGCTTCTTGAATGGCTGTGCTGTTGTACAGAAATGTCGCTGATGACGTCATTCCTTTTGGTGGTACGTCACACACGGCTGTCTTCATGTTGTTTGGGATCCATTCCACGAAGGAAGATGAATGGACGTCCTAAAAAAATGAGATAGAGAATGGGTCGAGTCTTTCTAGCTGAATGACCGCTGACTTACATCAACAGTGGGCGTCCTACACGGAACTTGGATCCTAACCACACAGTTTTTATTTTTTGGTGAAATTTTGACAAAACGTCACTGATTTAAGATTTACCTGCATTTCTAGCATTGCGTTCTCCACGTCACGCATAGACAGTTGACCTCTAAACATGGAAGCTACAGTCAAGTACCTTCCTTGACGAGGATCACATGCTACCATCATCCCTTGCGACGTAAACATCTGATTGGTCAGTTCAGATACACTGTATGATCTGTACATCTCAGACCGCTGACTAATGAGTGGCGCATGCGCAGGGATGAAGAAGTGAAGGCGCGGGAAAGGAACCATGTTTACTGCCAGTTTACGAAGATCTGCGTTCAACTGGAAATGAAAAAAACTAAAATGAGACCGCATCCCTTTCTTATTAGTTATTTAACCACATTGATGAAAAGAGATAATGCTACCTGACCAGGAAACCTTAGCGACGTAGTAACACCACTCATGGTAATGGCTACCAGTTTGTTCAGTTCGCTGTATGTCGGTGTTTTCTTTCTCAATACATCAGAATAAATACTATACAAAGCCTCGTTGTCAACACACACAGCAACATCCGCCAAGTCTACTAGGTGATGGAAACTTAATGTCGCGTTATACGGCTCAGTGACAGTCTCCGATACCCGGGGAGATGGGAGAACACTGTAGGTAGATATCAATCTATCGGGATATTCTTCACGAAGCTTTGATATCAGAAGTGATCCTAAACCAGACCCAGTCCCTCCGCCGAGAGAATGGGCGAGTTGGAAGCCTTGGATCGAGTCACAAAATTCTGCTAATTTTCTTATACAGTCCATCGCTGATTCAAGGAGTTCTGAGCCCTCGGTGTAGAAACCTTTTGCCCAGTTGTTTGACGCACTGGACTGACCTGCACAAGGAAAAGAATCGACAACTAACTCAGCTTGTATTTGTTCTATATCAAATCAATGCTAAATAATTGATGATTATTCGACCAATAATCGTTACCATAGATACAGTTATCAGGACTGAATAGGTGTCCATATTGTGACGATCGTAACGAGTCGATAGAGCCTGGTTCGAGGTCTATACAGGCTGCACGCGGGACGTAACGACCATCTGGGCAAAAATGAGAGAAAGAAGGAAAGAAATGAGAAAAGAAAAGAAAATTTATTAATACATGGGAAAGAATAGGAAAGAGAATTTACAGACAAATTTTCCGTACCTTGTTTCTCGTCGAAGTACACGTTGACTTTATCCAGTTGCGCAGGAGCGTTTCCATGGTAAAGACCTTGTGGATCAATCCCATGCTCCTCTGCGATAACCTCCCAAAACTATTTCCAATATATATAAATTTTAAAGAAGTATTTATGGTGATAATAAATGTTTATATGTTTTCATCATGAATAACTGAACTTCAACTTCAGAGAGTTTAATTTATTCATCCAGCCCCAGATTCTTGTTGGAGTTTTGACGGGTCACCCGCAGATACTCAATCTGTGTTGAGCCAAGCTACGGTATCAACGCTTTCATGCATTTTAGTTTAAGTCGACGCCCCTAGATAAAAGACAGCCCATTCCAGCTAGATGCTACAAAGCACAATTTTAGCCTTTAAAATCTAATAAATTTGGCAAATTTCTTCATCAGTTTAACATGAACTAAAGGGATTCCAAAGTCCAAATATCTGTTCTGACATGGACGTTGAACGCGTGTTACATTCCACAGCAGGCAAACGATCAAGCACCTGCTGCTGGGGTCTCAGATTTCTCAAGCATGAAGAAATACACCAAGGTGAAACGCCTTCTATAACAAATATTATAAACACGAACAATACGATTTTATAACTCTTCACTCCTATCCCTAAAACAATAAACCGTAGTAGTTTTAAAGATATAAAATTTGATTTAAAAACGTATAAATATTATTGACTATGACCGATTTTTGCGTCTCCTGATTTTAAACACCAAGTTGTGGTACCCGCTTACTAAATGAAATTTTTAAACATCTAGATAGGGAAGTAAATTCTTTTAGTTCTAAACTGAGCACTAAGTCGTGATGCTCCCCCAACGTTACACGTTTTGTCTGCATGGTTTAAAATTATTTTCATTCAAAATCTTGAAAGAAAAACTGGTTACCACCTTATTCAACTATGTTCCTTCACACTAAGTTGAAATTACAATAACCGTAGTTGTAGACAATAGGATTATTTTCAAAATATCTAACGAATGAATGAAGAAAATATAACATTTATGAAAAACGTGAACGAGAACAATGTGGTTGTGTTCAAACAAACCGCAGGGCGATTAATCGATCAAAAACATGTATTTTATTTCTAGAGCTTGTATGGTACTGTTTTAAGTTATTGAAAGCTAAAGTTAAAGACCATTTTCTACACTCATTGTATTGTTTACCAAGTTGGCCTTAAAATGTTACTGGAAAAAAAGTCTGTTCGTTTATGCTTATAAAACGCCGTTACTATACTAACTTTGGTGCTGACTTGATTCCCGCATTGACCAACTTGCAGATGGACAATGTCTCTCATATCGAACTTATTTAAGTCCACCAAAGATTTGATATTTGACTTGTTTTCACAATAAACAGAATGAAGGACGTCCAAGTTGATTGGGTCAGTTGATTTGAAGGCTATCATACTATAGCACCATCAACAGCCAATCAGTTACCAGTTACATCATGGCCTTGCCTTAACGGTTTGGTAGTTCCATGGTGTCAACGATGGGATGTACGCACGATCGATTCGCTGTTAGGTGCTAAAACCATGTTAGATTCCAATAATATTTGTAGAAACAATATTCGTCATTTCAAATAGGAATAAGTCAACACAACCATTTGCCGTCATTTTCTGTTCAATATATTTTGTTGTTCGATATTGTAAATGATATCAGTCGACATTGTAAATCGGATAACACTGATCTCATGATAAGAATGTCCAGCGTCAGTCAGTTAACAATGTCTTCGTTCGTGTTGTTCTGTTAAAACCAAAACATTTCATTTGTTTATTGGACTTAAGAAAATACCAAGCAAAACATGTTACAATATTTGATATGCAGTAAAAATGCCTTTGGCGGATTGAGTTTTTTCCAATTGGGCGGAGTTAATTCTTTATGAATGACTTGATGTCCGCCAATAATCGTGCTTATCATGACTAGTACTTTCTATTGGAGTGTAACGTCACGACAAGATATTGACAGGAATGCCATAAGCTTCAGTGGATTACGTTCATGTTAACCCGAGTATCAACTCAGATTACGTTCATGCCAAACGTCGAACTTCACATGAGCCGAACCCAATGACATCAAAGAAGACCGCATTGTTATCCACTGTTACAATTAGGTTCGGCTCATGTGCAGTTCGACGTTTGACCTGAGCCTTACCGTGAAGCTTCTCTTAAAAAGTCGACCTAAGGATAAAAGAGTACTTGCGTTTGACACGATACCAACTTCTAGTGATGCGGAACGATTCTTGAGTCACAAGAAATGATAAGATTTTCAAGTGATTTCAATTTTCACCTCTCCCCTAACGAAGCAGGTGATGGAGGAGAAGTCATGTGAATCAATCACGATGATGATGAAGAAACCTGACATGCACACCCCCTCCCCCCAAGAAATCTAGAATACTATCTAACTTCAAACAGTTCTCGTACTTACAAAAGATTTTGCACAGTTTATTACAAAAGAATACCATAAAAATACAGTACAAAGTTTACACCTCTCAGATATAAACAAGTGGAATAGATATCCAATACTATACAGGTGGATATTGGGCGATATTTACCGCGGTTAATTGAACCAAGTGCACGCGACATAGAAAATCTCTGGTTATCAAAAAAAAAGTATTTAGCGTTATTCACTTATGAATTAATATAAGTAGGAGTCAATAAATTAGGACTCTCTACCTCAACTTAGGTGAATAATTGTTAAATACACCTCGTAAAGTGCGTAAATGCAGGTGAATATTTGAGTGAAAATAATGGCTGAACTATGGTTCGCAAACAAATATAGCTCATTAGCTTTAGCCGATATCACTAATACAATACCTACACCAGGCTCTTTCTTCTTTTGCTGGACGTGAAAGGTAAAGAGTCTGGGAACATATCGATTTCATTATCAAAGTTGCATGAGACGGTGGTGTAGTGCGGCTAGCAGTATTCTAACTGGAACATTATTGTAAACTCATTTTCATGAATGATAAATGAAAAGAAAATAGCTAAGAAAATCCGTGAAAAAACGTGTTTGATAGGAAAAAAATGACAAAGACATCATAAGAAAAGAGAAACTTAATGCGACTCACCGACCAGCAGGGAGGTGGCAGTGTTATGAGTCTCTATCGATATTCAATAATCGTAATAATTCATTACGTTACAGTGCGACCTCAACGAACATTGAAGCACATTGAAGAGAAAAAAAGACTAGGACGAGGAAGCCTGTTTAACTAGTATATCCTGTTTAGCAGGCTTGAGGAGCCGATGTTTCTCATTATTTTTTGTGCCAGACGCTGTGTCAGACGTAGTGTTCTTGAATGACTTTTCGATACCCAACTACTTGGAACGTAGGCTCGCTTGGGGACTGGGGCTCAGAACTATGCCTTCAAAATAAATAAATAAATCAGTCATTCTTATCGCTCTGACGAACGGGTGGCAAAAAAAAGCTTGCAACATGCCAACTAGAAGACGACAATCAAAGTGCTGTGCTTATAGACACGAAAACAAGTTGCAACGTGCAAAATAAAAGACAATGCACTGTGCTGTTTTATAGACACGAAAACAAGCACAGTACACGCGGTACAGTGCTTCACGTAGCATGCATGAACATACATGAAGTACCTACGTGGACACGATACTTGCAGCTGCAATACTCTTATGTCATAGTCACTGCTTGTATAATTTGCAACAACACAGCACCTATAGGCACGATCGATGGTGTTATTTACGAAACTTGCACCTTTAACAACAGGCTTATCTACTTTATTCTTGCCATACTTGTGACGTAATAGCTGCCATGTTGGACGACAGCATTGATCATAATTGCAAGAATAGAATTATGTAGCAGTGATTACTTGTGAGCAAGCTCTTTTTGCTGTGCTGGTGACGTCACAACCGCCATGTTGGACGACAACCTTGACTTATATTATTTCCTTTTCTTGGGAACAATTGCACAAGTAAGAACATGCATACAAGCACAGTTTTATCAGTTTACCAACAATATATGCATTTTTATCAGCAAACACGCACACAAATTACAACAATAATGAACACCAAGAATCCAATATAACTTACCCCGGTTCAGAAGATCGTTGTGGGTAAGCCTGTCCTCCATGGCTTCGCCTCCTTTCTTTTGGAAACGAACTGTAGTTAGCGTTGCTCCTCCTTACCTCTTGTCTATCTCCCACAGAACCAGCAACAACAGTAACAACTGAACCACTTTGTGGTCTTGATGTGGGTCTGGTCTCAGATGTACGTCGTGGTCTTCCAGGGTAGGGAGGCAAGTAACGCTCGTTTCGTTGATCTCGAAGCGCCACATCATCCATTGACTTTCTCTTAGTCATAGGGTAAGGAGGTGGCTCTATTGGAAGGCCGTGTCCTCTTCCGGTATAAGGGGGAGACCTTCTACCTTCAAGATTTTGATGCCGAGGACCGGAGTTTCCATGCTTGCTAGCCTGTGATGGTTGTAGTGGGTGTGGTTGAGCAGATGACGCGCCAGTATATTCTGATTCTACACTCTGTGCATTCTGTGCCATGATAGGTTCAGGGGATATACGTGGTGAAGCAGATCTCGCTGGAGAAAGTTCACCTAATTTTTTCCTAAATTCTGAATTTTCTTTGTTTAATTTTTCGATTTTTTTCTCGTAGGCCCTTTTTGTTCGTGACAGTTCAACAGCTTTCTCCATCGCCATATCATTTGCTTTAGCACTTTCTACCAACAATTCTTCGGACTTTTTCTCTACGCCTTCTAATTTTTCTTCGATGTCTATTTTTGATTTTTCCAATTCTTCATTCTTTTTCTTCAACTCTTCAACATCAGTTTGTAACTTTTTAATGATTTTCTTAACTTCTTCCTCATCGGGTTCCAGATCGGTCTCCATTCCCAATAGCTCCCCGATCCCCTTTAATTTATTCTGTAATCTATTCATTTCCTTGTCGCCTCCATCTTTCATACCAATCAGTCTCCTCTTTTCTTCTTCATGCTTTTTTCTCAGCAGTTTTATCTCATTACTTTTGCTGGCCACATCTTTGCGTACACCTTCCATTTCTTTTTTAATAGCCTGCAAGGCTTCCTGGAACTCCTTTCTCTCCGTCAAAAGTGTATCCTTTTCAGCAGTTGCTCTTTCAAGTTGGTTATGAATCATTGCATTATTTTCGTTCACTTTTTCCAGCTCAGAAGAAACTTCTTGGTGCCGTGTTTGCAGTTCCGCATGATTCGTGTCCAACTCCTCTTTACGTGCTTTAATAATCTCCAGTTCTCGTATCCTGAACTCCAAATCTTTGACTTTTTTTTCCAGCTTCTCTTTTTCGTTCGTTAAATCTTCTATTTCTTTTTTCATGGTTCGTTTCTCGCCAGCGACTTTGGTAACTGTTTCTGACAGCGCCAGACATTCACTTTCCATGTTGAACTTGTTCTTTTTCAACATTTCAATTTCATCTTTCAAACTCTGCATATCTTCGTCGTTTTCATCGCTTTTCTTGTCTTCTTTAGTCGAACTTTTCTTAGTTTTCTTTGCAGTTTTGCCTTTTTTCGTTGTTTCTGCTTTAGTTTTCTCATTCTTTTCGATTGCAACATCTTCATTAGTTTTACTATCGTGCTCTTCCTCTAGACATATCTTCAGGGCGTTTATTTCCTTCTCAGCCTTTTCCAACTCAAGATGTAGCTCTGAGTTCTCTTTATTTAGTTTTTCCAGTGCTGGTCTCAGTTGTTCATTTGCTTTTGATTCCCCTTTCTCTCCTTTCTTACCTTGTTTCAGTCCCTTGATTTCAGCTTGTAATTCTTCTATTCGTTTCTTTTGTTCAGTGTTCTGGTTTTCTAATTCTTCTCGTTCATCTTCATTTTTCTGTAGTTTTTTCTGTAACATTATCTTTTCCTTCTCTAGTCTGCTACTTGGGACACCAGAATCCTGAGAAAACAAGACAATAATCAATTTATCATTTTTTTAAAAAATCAAAAAACGAGTGAAACATGTTCGAATTGTTCGATTTTCCTGGGTTTGAGTCAAGATGACCCCGAAACGTCGGATTTTATCGTTAATTTTCATTATAAGTACATTTTCAAAATCTGTCTTACTTAAAATAAAAGAACTATAGTAAAATTTTCCAGGAAAGTCGAAATTGCTCCGGAAATACTCTCCCTTTAACAACTGCGAAAATCACAGGAATACTATGTGAAGGTCACGTTTAATAGCACCTGAACAAGCTATACCGCCTGTAACACGATCCCCGACAACTTGGCAATGGCGATGTGAAAACAATGCTTGCAGCAAAGTCGTCGCAAAAATTCGAATTGGTTTCTGCTTTCAGCAACGATTGCGGCTTTGTTGCACCGTGCAATACCTTTTGCAACTTGTGTGGCAGCGCTGTTGCAAGACAAGTTACTGGAATATTGCTCTGTGTAATTGCGCCTTAAAGCGCCATGTCGTAATGTTGTGCGCAATAGATTACAAAGTTATATTCTTACCTTTTTGATTGCGTTAGCATTCTGTTTATCTTGTGAATCATGTAGTTTCTTCAGTTCTGATTCCAGTTCGGCTTTTTCAAGAGCAATGCTGTTCTTCTCCGCTTCAATATGTAGCTTTTCCTGGTTTAACTGTTCATAATCGTGTTTCATTTGCGCCATTGTTTGATGACACGTTGCCAACTCCTGAGCGATGTTATTTTCGGATTCTTCAGCTGCTTGGAGAAGTTTTTGTAATTCTTCGTTTTCTTTTCTCAACTTTTCAACATCTGCTGAGCCTTTGCTTGACTTTTCTTTCAAGTGCAACCGTTCATTTGCAAGCCTCAACTTTTTCACCTCTTTCTCCAACAGCTGGTTCTTTGAATTAGCATGCGCAAGACTAGCACGCATAGAGTCATCTCCGTGTAATATATCGATATGATTCCACTGTTTGTTACCTTCCTTACCATCCAGAAGAGCGCGTAAATGCTCAACCTGTTTCTTCAATCCCTTGCATTCATTTTCAATTGCTTTTTTCTCAATTTCCATTTCACGTGCGTTCAGTACATGACTTTGGATTTCAGATACTGTCCCCTCAATTTCTCTTAACAGTACATTTCTCTGTTCTTCTGCCGCGTTTTTTTGTTCTTCGAGTCGTGACGCACTCACACACTGGTCATCTATTTCAGCCAAGCTGCTCTCTAATTCCATTATCAGTCTATCTTTTCTTACTACATACGGTGCAATATCTAAGTCTTCATCATCGTAGCTTTGGAGGTCATTCTCCGCAGTGACATTTGTCTGGGTTACTGTCCCATTCTCGTGCAAACCAATAACCTTACTCTTATTAACAGGTTTGCTGTTTTTAAGGGAGCTAGGATGTGAGGGACCATTCACATGTCTTCTCTGCATTCCTTACTACAATATTCAGTCTTATAACCAACACCACCTCTTGCTTATGATTGACGACAGACACACCATTAGATGCTGGTGAAGTTATATTGGCACTCCATTATCATGAACAGCAATATCTTGTAGTTTACCTACGATAATCAAAACAAATAATTAACAACAGCTGCATAAAAATTAACGTTATGGACGTGCTGTGTCGTGAATGAGCATTCTGATTGGACAAATAGCTGCTTCACGAACTGTCATTGGTTTAACAGATGTTGTCAATTCTGTACCATGCACACCAGTACCATGTGCGGTTACAATTCCTTTTAATGTCATATGAACTAGCTTTATTCATATATATATAACTTTAGTAACAATACACAGGTGATTATTGAAAATCTCGCGCGCTGATTGGTCGAGAAACTCACACTATCACACGATAATCACCTCCAGCGATAATCCAAAATGGCGGCCAGCCGCTTTGTTGCTGTTACCGGGAAAAATTGTCTTTTATCTTCGTTTTTTTCTTTTTCTTTTTCTTTTTGAAAGAATCACCTGTGTATTCATACTTAAATTATTATTTGCCTCAGCCTCAGTGTCTGACCTTGTCTGACCTACACAAATTAAGTACTATTATAATACCATAAAGAATCCAATGGTGTTGGTGTTTCATACCATATAAAAGCAATAAAATAATGGAAAGGGTGTCTACTAATGTCTATTGAACTAATTGTATTCATTAGTATTGTAAAAATAAAAAGGATTATAGTTAATATTTAAACCATTAGACCACTCAAACCATGAACACTTTGAAGGTTTTTTTACCAGGATATTATTTCCTGTACTTTCTACTGTTTCAACATTCAGTTCAAATTTACCTGACTTTTCTATCAGCTCAAGGGATGATTTACAGTTTGCATTTCTATATTATGAAAAAAAAATTTAAATAGACCTCCTTGGCTCTGACGTAATGTTTTCCCAATTCAGACCACGTGTCATTCCCTAGAGTAACATTTCTTTGTTTAAGGTTTGCGCTCGGTTGCACATGAGAAGACACATGAATATGGATACAACTCAAACAAAGAATCTTATTCTCAAGGGTATGACACGTGGTCTGAAATGGAATTACATTATGCTCGAGCGCTCCATAGCCGAGGTCTATTGGTCTTGGCTTGAGTGGTCTCACTTTAAGACTAGACCAGACTAAGGAATGTAAGGTTATAATTTTCCCACTCATGCAAAGCTGCCTCTGGCATATCTTATTGGTTTCTCTTGCTGCGTCTTAATACAACTACTACCCTCTTCAATTTCTTTTTCTTATTCAAATGTTTTTACCCCTCTGTGGGTTGTATTTGATAAATGAAACCATGAAAAGGATTCTGTTATCAAGTTGTAATAAGGTAATGAAGAATTAATTGAAGTGGAAATGGGACTGACTCAATATTACTCAATAAACTTACAATTTCCTAAGAATATTAAAAACTGAACACAGTTTCGACCAGGAAAAGATAATCCCATAGGAAAGTCAGAGCTTACAAACCCTTGTCTTAATCTTAGTCACGTACTATACCACACAAGTCTTTCATGTTGATTTTTCATATGATTATCAAAAGATAATACACGAAACAATAGTGGCAACTATCAAGTATTGGTAGTATGAGTCTACATGCTCAAACTGATTGAAAAAGATCAGAGTACAAGTTGAATTCTTTGATGAGTTTTTCATGATAAACTTTAGATATATTGACTGTCATACACATTCAGACATAACAATAATATATTTTTGCATTAAACATGACACAGGCTGACAGACAATAATATTAGGATAGTTCTCATATCAGTTCACAATAATAAGGTTAAAGAAACCAAAACATACAAGCTTTATCATCCTGTGTGAGCAAAAGCAACAAAGTAAATGTAAATAGACAAAATTGTCACCCATCAAAGTGGTGGGTATAAAATTATGAAACTTTATCCCGTAATTTTTTTTGTAATAAAATTAATACTCCAAGCTGTCATCATCACTGTCAGTTTTGTCTGAGGATTTTATTACCATTAGAAGTTGTCCAGACTTTCAAACACTTTGCTCATGTTTTAACTGTGGTTTGCCACTAATTATTGTGCACTACCAATGTTATATTGGACATTCTTACAAGTAATAATAACATCAAATAATAGGTTATTTATTAAGAAGGTTGACATTTAATACATAAATAATAAACAGGATTTTCTTATTCATACTTCAATTACAACGTCAGTGCTGCAGAAACTGTCATATTGTTAAAATCTAATAAAAATGAAAGTATTTCTTCTTGTTTAGCTAACACGCAAGTATAGCATGATAGATTGTGTCAAGTAATGAGGTCTAGTAATCTTTATATTCCTATGTCTGCAATGCTTATAATGCATTATATGGAGGTTATCAGAAAAACATAGTGAAAATTTAATGAATTACAAAAAACTAGATGTCTAAGCCAATTAAAGGTGATAAAAATATAATACTAAGACAAAAACCAATTCACAATAAATAGAAAATGATCATTATATAAATTCAAAGCTTAATAATGTTTTTAAAGGTTGTTATACAAATATATAAATATATACAAAAAATAATCAAAAGATTGATTCTGTGCAAGGAGGAGATCTAGACTTTTCATAGCTAGATAAGTGGTTTGTTAATAGTTATTTTAATAAAGCATTTGGTTAAGGTACTTGGCTGAATGATATTACTAATAGATACTACAAGATTAAAATACTCATTAATATCCAAAAATATTATCCAAAATATTCCCATATTAAAAATGGAAATATTACTATGAATAATAGTAATAGCTATAAAAAATAATCCAAAATACATTGATTGGAATTAACTTAATCACTGAACTAGATTGCTAAGGAAATGAATTTTATATTCTCCCACATATTGTCAAAAAAATAAATACACTATTCTTTCTCAACTATGTAAACAATAACAGGAAAAAGGTTTTGGAGGCTAGGCTCAGAAGATGAAATTTCTAAATCTGGTCTAATTATGTAAAACATCTGGATATTATATTTTGAAAAGGTAATTGATAAACTAAATCCTGTAGCAAGACTATTGAAAGATATAAAAGATATAAATATCCTGTATAAATAATAAATTTGGCCTTTAGAATACAATAGATTTTGAATGATGAAGAATGTTGTAGAAAGATAATCGATAATCTCATGGCGAAATCATGCAGAATATTTATGATAAAGTAGAGCAGAGAAGACAATATTTAAATTAGTACTGATATAATGTTTCAAGAGAGGACTTTAAGCTTATATTTTAAAATATGAAGAGTTACCGGAATAGTAATTTCATTGGAAGTTTTGCTATACAAATGGATAAAAACATATTAAACTGCAAGGTTTTTTGTTTGTAATTGGAGCCAAGGGCCGGAATCTAGGATTTATCTTACTCTGATCACGACACATGGGAAAGATCAAAAGAACTATAGGACTTGGGTCAGATATCAGGGTTTGGGACGCTTTCTCGCAAAGAAAAAGGCGCGAAGAGTAGATTTTCTATTCCGATCTTAATCTCCATCAGCTTAGATGTACATTCACAACAAAAGCAACATCTCTTCAAAATTTGTCAAATTTCCAATCAAATAACTTTGCCGAGTTTTATCTTGTAGTGACCCGTACTTGTTGGACATGTAAACAACTCTTCGTAAGAGCTAAGGACAGAGTTTGGATTATAAAATCCTTCCTCTTTTAAGCCATTTTTTCCTTGATTCGAATCAGCTGCTAAATATTTAGCTTTGATTATTGGATTTCGTAGGATATGACGTTTCGATCACAGAGAATCCTCACGAACCGTTATCACAAGCGACTCTTTGGTGATTTGTCATAGCTAAGGACCCAAGAGTAGCTTATAAACAAGTGAAAATCATAAAGAATTTAGACAAATGGAAAACTTCTGTGTGTAAATAAATCGAATTTTTTCTCGTCTATGGTTGTCATGCTTGATAGTTCACCAACCACTGAGCCAAATATCACCGCACAAAACACAAACTTTTACTCCGTCAAAAAGCACTAAAAACTTACCTTAATATTAACAAAATACCTCAGATTGATAGCACAATCCTCTAAGAACTTCGCTGGACTGTTAAAGTATAGCTAGTTGTTTAGACTGCTGGAAACATAGCGAATTAAAGAAGTAGTATTTATGGTTCTTGTGAGTCGGAGTGTATGTTAATCTCTGATGCGATAGCCTTTGGCAATCACTCGTAGTACTCGACGGTGATTGGTTTGTCAATCATTAAGTTGATTGCTATTGGTTAACTAAATGAATACAGACATTTGAACCCATTCAAGTGCAACCGAGCGAAAAGACTGTATACTCAGATTTAAACCATTGTAAGGTATTGTTCCTGTAACTAGCTAATTTGGAAAAAATTAAGATCCTTATTGTGTCGGCACGAAGCTTTAAAGAAAGTCACTTAGAGATGTCGATCGTGTCCTTTCACGAGATAGCATTGCGCTGCAGGATTTCTGATACATTTTTGTCTTGTTAATTGCAATTCCCATAACCTTACTTATCATTCCTTCATGCAATTTTTAATGATTTAGTAGCTTTCCTCAGATAGTTACCGAAACGGCTTTTCTTCGCCTCAGTTTTTGCTTTTCTATTCACCTTAATTAATTCAAAAAGACTAATGTTCCAAAAATGTTCAAATTTACGTCATATTGTACAAATTCACATACCGAATTATGACGTTTTCGGAAACGTAGGTCGAGCTTCCATGTGCAACATTGTATTAACAAAAATACAGAAATTCTTTTCTGGACTTTTCTTTAGACGGCAATATATAATGTCTATTTTCCGCCAAATGAATTCCACTGTGCAAGCAATACAGTTTCGCAGTGTTTGACAACTTGTGACATGTTGTTTCTGTAGGTACAGTCATAGTTTGAGCCAAATACATAAATTTACAGATAACTGGTTGTGACGGTCCAATATAGGAGCCAAGAGCGCCGTAGTTCGAGAAAATACCGGCAAAACATTGATTGGTAAACTCATTTGCGAAATATTAAAAGAATTGTAGGGTCAGATGATTTTTAATTTTTTTGAATGAAATTTATATGAATTTATATAAATTCCCTCATCAATACTATATTGTTGGCTTGCAAGTAAGAAAAAATTAGTGTTTAGAATATTTACTATAAGGACTATTTATGCATGCATTGGTTAATTATGAATAAAGCAATGTAAACGAGCTCGAATCTCTAGCACAAAGCATGATGGGAAACGGAGAACTTAATCAGAACAAGAAAAACAATATTAATAGGATTATCCAAAAAATGCTCTGTTATTTTCCTCTGTCGAAATACTTACAGTTTTATAGAAAATGTCGAAAGAAGATTTGTCAAATGAATTTTGAAGAGGAGCCGAAAAAGCGTTAATACTCAGTTTCCCATCATGCTTTGTGCTAGAGATTTGTGCTCGTGCACACTGGCTATTACATTTCATGATTTCATTAGGCTGGCAACAAAAGGTGTCATTCCCTCGAGGTATCCCATAATGCACTGCTTAACTAAAGAACTCGAGTGATATGGAACACATCTTTTTTTTAAAAGCATTTATCATTTCTTGCTATACTATTAAACAACGAAACTATTTCGGCTAGTGATTAAAACTAATGCATAAAATATAATATTAAAAGAGGTGTAGTGAGTTTGGAGCTCTCAAAGCTTGTATGGGCTTCCTGTGGTCGTATCCATAATCATTGGCCTCTGGCCTGCTGGGGAGACTGGGCAAGGACTCCCCATATCTAACGCCATAGAAAAAAGATCTATTCATTCCTTTTTTATTTAGTAACGGTTTTCATAGCCGCCCTACATTTTGGCTGAATTCAACTAAAGAAGTTGTATTAATTTTATTCTTTCGTTACATCAAACAAGATGGCGGCGCTTAGTTGTCTTGGTATCTATCAACCTAGTTCCCAGGGCCTTCTCTTCTCGATTCAAGATGATCTAAAAAAAAAACCGGGAAGAGAAGGCCCTGGGAACTAGGTTGGGTATCTATATTAAAACTATACTTAAAAGTTTCGTAAAAGCGGTTGTTAGTCTAAAATGATGCGTGCACACACCCTAGTCGTCTGTTCATATTATGAACCATGGGTGATTCAGTTAGTTACTAGTGGTGTAACATAACAAGATGATTAATGCCACACATGCACCGCTGACCAACAGCACTAGCACGCCAAATACGATCTTCTTCAGAAGAATATTCTGAAACAAAAACAAAAATCTTAATTTGTCATTCTGTCGCTATCATATAAAACGGTAATACCAAGTAGTCGTTACCTTCTCGGCAGGTGCTTTCGTATTTACTTGGCCTGTTTGTTTGGTCGTCACCTCCACTTCTCCATCCTTTAACTTAGCTTTGGGCTCGTTAATGACCTCAAACGAGTTTTTGTCGTTTCGAAGAAGCAACACAAGTTCAAATAATATCACCATGACGACGGCAGCACAGTAGACTATCAGTGGATATACGCCGGTATTTTTTATTCCAAAGTGAGGCATAAATACCCCGAGAAAGCAATTTACGACTGGAAAAAATACAGAATAAAGAAAAGATTTAATAATTTTTTTTTAGATCAACGGAGTGTATAACATGCATTTCTAGTGTTGTTTAGGGTCTTATTACGTACTAGCGAGGACGAGAGCTGACAGACCAACAGAACGGTGAGCCCAGTTAAAGATGAAGCGACTGAAATAGAATGTATATATATTGATCAACATAACATTATATCAAACAAACAAACAAATACCGCAATTCCAAAAAAAAGTTGGTGGTTTTGTCACATATTGCATGTTGCACGTGCATACCAAGCCCGAAATGCACTTTGCACTCTGCGCACGTTTTCAAGCATATTTTCTTTTGTGCTGATATATGACATATGATCCAGAATACATTTCAAGTCGTTGGTATGCAACATTACAATTAAACCTCCACCAAAGTTTTTCGAAATATACTCTGTATACAAAACTAAAAATACGATGATGTTAAGAAGTTCAGCCCAGGCCGCGCTCCTAAGTGTGTGATGCGCGATAATTCTGACTTATTAAATCAATAGTAATTAATTATGAGTAATAATAAATCACATGATATACAATAATAATTGCATTACTTGTCTGCGACTGGTCCGGGTCTAAAGAAGGCCATGACAGGTTGAATACAGGTCAGCAGGAGGACAAGAATACCGATAATAGAATGCAGCATGTAACCCTAACGTATAGTAAAAATAGTAACGTTAACTACTGTTAGCTGAGATACACAGTTAATAGACATAATGGCAGACATAATGGCAGATGAAAATAATGGCGTACCTCAGACCAGCCTTCAACGTAAATAAAAACCAACACAACACCAACGATAGTGAAGAATAGCGTGAAAACCATCAGCAAACGATGAATCTGGGGATATTACAACGCTTACTTAGTGACTGGTAAGATAACCACCAATCCTTCATCACAGTTGTTGATATGTCATACCCCAGCCCCTCTCTCCCTCAGTTGTTGAT